CATTGATAAAATAAGTTTAAGATTTGAATTTCAAAAAACTTACTTAATTTCTCCTCGACCTTGTTTCATAAATATTTTAGTATGTATCAAAATTGCAAAGTAAAATATTATAAAGCCATACATGTAATAAATATATAATCCTTAAGCAATTTAAATATGCATTTAACAACCTTAGATTCATTAGAACTTACATCAGAATCTGAAACGTCGGAAGAAGAGGATGCTTCGGATATTGAATTTATTCAACCAAGAATAAATGGAGCAGTTTCTTTAGATCTTTCTCATGTTGAAAATAACAGCACCAGCAATATTGTAGTAACTGGTCGTAATATAGCTGAATTGCAACCACTGCAAAATCGTCTTTGTAAGACCAATCAATCTAATGATGATATTGGTAATAGCAATATTTTTATATGGGATGACATTCCTAGACAACAAAGAGAATTTCCATTTACTGCAATCAATAAAGTGAACAAAGTTCCTGAGAAGCATGATTGTCCACTTGCAGTACTGAAGACATTTTTAACAGATTATATTATCAACAATATTGTCCAATACACAAATAGGTATGTCCAGCTTGCTAAATTAACTCCAGAAATAATGCAAAGAATAGAAACAAAAAAAAGAAGTTGCTTCAACTTATGGGTTTATTTGACATTTGATGAACTTTGGGTATACATTGCAATAATATCTCTAAAGGGAATAATAAACAAGCCTAATTATCATATGTTTTGGACTAAAGACCATATATTTTCTACACCTATTTTTTCCAGACTCATGCGTCATGATCGATTTGAGTCCATTCGTAAAATGATGCATTTTACAGATCCTGGAAATGAAAATCATGATGATAGTTTGTGTAAGCTTAGGTCTTTGATAGATAGTTTATCAAAATGTTTTTCTGAAAATTATACTCCTGAGCAAAATGTCTCAGTAGATGAGTATCTTTCCCTTTGGAACCGAAAGGTCGTTTGAAATTCCGCGTTTTTATCCCAACTAAGCGTGAACGCTACGGAATCAAATTATACATGTGTTGTGAAAGTAAGACTGGTTATTTGTATCGCTTTATAATATATACTGGTTCAGATACAGACTATCCTGCACCCAGTAACATTACATTTCCAAAAGCATTTGATGAGTATGCAAGTTACTCAAAAGTAGTATTATCATTAATAGATGGACTGTACAAACAAGGTTACTGTGTAACGATAGATAATTTATACACTTCACCTGAACTTTTGATGGCCTTATTTTATAACCAAACGGATTGTTTTGGCACACTGCGTCGAAAAAAAGGACTTCCTAGGGACTTCTGGAATTGAAAACATTTTCAAAACTGGTTGACCTATGCCTTCTAAAGGCATAGGTCAACCAGTTTTGAAAATGTTTTGTGCCGAAAAAATTATGATAATGAGATGGAATGATCCCTACAAAACCAAATCAACAAAAATTGTTTCAATGGTGTCAACAAAACTTACTGGTCAGTTAGTTGAAACTGGAAAAGTTCACTTCTCTTTGAAAAGTCCCATTATAAAACCAGATGTTGTATTAGAATACAATAAAACAATGGGTGGTGTAGATACCTTGAGCCGTGTTAGTATCCCCTATTCCATACAGCGGAGAGGTTTAAAATGGTTTAGAAAGATTGGGGAGCTGCTTATTGATTTTTGCATTTATAATTCATTTGTCATTTGGAAAAAATTAAATAAAAGCAGCACTAGTCAACTCAAGTTTAGACAATCACTTGTAAAAACGATACTTATGTATCATCTAAACAAACAAGCACCAATTCAAACTGGACGCGGAGAACCAGTAAATTATTTCAACAACCCTTTAAGACTAATTGAAAGACATTTCATCACTCAAAAAAATCAATCCCTTGGTCGGAAGCGTAGTAAATGTGTATGTTGCTTGAAGGTTGGCAAATGCAAGGAGGCAAGCTATGAATGTAGCATGTGTGCTGTAGCACTATGTGTCACACCGTGTTTTAAAATATATCACACACAACATGATATTACATCATCAAGAGATAGTTCGTCATGCGACAGTGAACAATCTTGAAGTGATCATGGTTTAAAATCTATTGATATGTCTTTTCATATATTTCTATTCAATAAAGATATTTTGTTTGTTTGTTGAACATTTTTTCAAATTTTAGCAAAAACAATTAGTGTAATTATTTTAAAATTTGGAAAAAATTAAAGTTGTACTTGATTTTATTGTTATTATTTTATTTGAATATACTTATGGGATACTAAAAATATTATTTTTATTACATAAATATATATTTCCACCTGTTTTTTTTTCATAAATGTCTATATATTGATAAAAAGTGCATTAAGGAGCTTTTTCTAACATTTTTTTTGTTTTCAAGATGAATGATGTATAAAAGCTATGTCCAGTGTGGTGTTATCCTTTATGAATTATGTATATATAATCATTTACCTTTTATAAAAACTTTACTTCAAGAATTAGACATAAGGATAACAGAATATATATTGTTTTTAAGAAAACTACAACCTTTGCTAAAAAACATTGCGCGCTGAGTGGTCAAACATTAAAAATTAAGCGGAGTCTAAAGGTTAAGAAAAACACAATTGTATTAAGTTTTGAAAAACCCAATCTAATTGTGTAGTAGGTAAACTTAAATCCCTTTAAGAAAATCAAATATAAACAAGTGTCCCCTCATTTAAAAAAAATATCCTAAAAAGAATGTTTTTTAAAAATTTTGTTTAAAAAACTAAGTTTAAATAAGTATAAGATTTTAAAATTTATTTTAATCAACATTTAAATTTAATTAACTTATAACTTTTTAACTATAACTTTTTTTATAACAATATTGTTTAATTTAAAGATATTTCATTTAAAAGACTTACAATAATTTCTAATGTGTTTTTGAATGTGTTATTGTCAGGTCAGGTTTATCCTGCTACTGGCAACATGTAACCCAGTACAATCTGCATGTCCTGCTGCCTTGTAGGATACCCCTTTTTAGGCAAATGCTAGAAGATGCAGACTAAAACACCCCCTGCCTTGGGGCTTTTGGTTGAGTAAAGGCTAGAGATGGTGTCTTGATAAAAATACTCATCTTGGGAAGATGTTAAATGCATCTGGCTGCTGTCTTGTAAAAGGCCTCCTAGGCAAAGACTTAAGGGGTAAACAGATTCTATCTGTTGACCAACCTTGCATCCCTTCTTCATCTATTAGGCTGGCGCATATGTATTTTTAATACATTGTTTCCAGTTTAAGATGTTGAATGCTGGATCTTTTTTTTTAGCATGAAGTCATAAGTGATGTTTTATGTATAGCTAAAAGTATCAATAAACATAATTTTAATAATAGATAGAACAACAGATTTTTACTATTTTTTCATATTTGATGAAAAGATTAACGTTACTAAACCACTGTTTCCTGCATTTTGCAATATGCTGTAAAGACAAAAAAAAAAAAAAAAATTGACTTTTTTATTCTGCTTTGTGATCTAAGCACACTGTGTCATTCTAAGCACACACAATAGCACACTATTTAAGTGTCGTTCTATTAGTTTTTCATTGGTTTTATTTTTCACTTCTCAAACCATCTATAATGGAACCAGGAACTTATATATAACTATTCTTAAAATAAGTCTACAGAGATAATAGTTCTCTAGAGTATTTTTTGAGGCAATCTCTCAAACACAGGTAATCTCTCAAACACAGGTAATCTCTCAAACACAGGTAATCTCTCAAACACAGGTAATCTCTCAAACACAGGTAATCTCTCAAACACAGGTAATCTCTCAAACACAGGTAATCTCTCAAACACAGAAAGTTTACTCTTATTATGATATGTATCTAGAGAAACATTAGACACAACAATTATGATAAAAAGTTTTGTCCAAAGAGGGTCCAAGCATAAATTGTTTGACATTAGCATATCTGCAGCAAAACATACTTGGTTCATCTTGCATTCATTTAAAAATATGTGTATAAATAAATACTTGTTATATATACTTTGTTATATATACTTGTTGAATAAATATTGTTTTTATAAATACTTTTGTTTTAGGAATGTTTTCATCTTTTTTCAAGTGTAGGTTTCAAAAATTTTGTTTTGTCTGCTAATAACTTGTTTTCATATATTTATCATTTTCTTTCATTTTGGTAATTGTGCTTTTTGAGGTTGTAATATAGATTAATTGTTATTTTTAATTGATGTAGTGATTTCTTGGACTGTTTTTTTTTTTTTTTGCATTTTTGCTATATTTTGTTCTAAACTCTGTTTTTTGAATGATAAAAATTAATGATGCCTATTGATGTTTTATCATTGTTATGTTGGCATGGTAACAGCCTTATTGATGTTTTATTTTTGTTATGTTGGCACACTTGGTAACAGCCCTACTGTTTACTTTGTTTTAACAAATAGTTGCTACTTCAGGAAATGTTTAACATTTTAATCAAGATTATTTTATTTTGCGATATTGAGACTTGAGTTTTTTTGCATCGAAAAGCAAGTTCATCAAAATCATGAAATTGATACATGACAACTAAAAATACTCAATACTGTATATACTTAATACTAAGCAAAATAATATATATATACTTAATACTAAACAAAAAACTAAACACTATAATTTGGTACATGAGATACTCAATCATCACTCATGACCAAAAGCAATCTTCTTGAAACTTCAAATTTTCATTAATTTTCAAGGAGATTGATTTTGATCATGATAAGTCATTTAATAATATCAATTAGTTAAAAATCCATTAGTCAAGTGAACAAACAAATTTGCCAAGTTTCTATTTTTTGAGTAAAATTATAAGACAACTTCTTGGAATTCAACAGAATCAGTATTTAATCTTAAAACACAATTTGTGTCATAAGGATCAATGAAATGAAAATCAATCAGTAAAAATAATTTTAACATTTTTTGTGCTTCACAAAATTGCTTGAAATTATACAATATTAAAAAAACAAAAAACAGTGTAAATTGCAGACTCTTCATTTTCTTTACCAACTTTTGTGTATTTTAGGAAGTCATTCATGAAAGATGGTTAAAAAAACAACAGAAACAGGTATTTATATTTTTATTTATATTTTTGATATATTTTTAAATCTGAAAAATATTTTGTCAAGTTTTATCAAGTTATTATTTTTCTTAAGAATGCAAAAGAAAAAGGGAAAATCATTAGTATGTTATGTTTATTTGAGATTTGAGAATTGATATCTAGGTATGAAGGATTTTTTTTGTAAAATACTTTTTTGTTTTTTTAATACTTTTATTTATTTTTTCATGAAAGAACTATCTGGATTTAAGCAATGTTTCAAAACTTAAATTGCTGGTATAATGTTAACAGGTTATATGTTTACAGCAATTTAGGTAAACAATGTTTGCTTAAGTTGTTGTTTATAATATTTAAATTGCTGGATGTTGTACCTTTTTACTACAATAAATGTTGGTGTTTTGTATTTTTACATGTAAAGCTAAACTAATATTATAATTGTTAAATTGACAAGTTGAATCTTAAATTAATTATAATTATAAATTAAAATTATAAGTTTAAACTTGAAAAAATTATTTTCAACTTGACGTAATATGTAATGTCATATAAAAATATGTAATGGATTCATATGTAAACTCATTATTATTAACATTATTCCTAATTACTTTCTGATCTTAATCATTATTGTTAACAGTTTGTTTTCTCTAATTATTTTCTGGTCCCATCCTTCATAATTTCAAACTTTTAAAATGAATTTATATATTTGCCACTTCTTTTTTTAATTAATCTTGTCATGCAACTTTTGACTCGTTCATAATCCTTAGATTTCCTTTTAGTTTTATTGATTTATCATGGCAGAGATTTTACTGAATGGAAAAAAGTGAGGAATTTATATTCAAAAGTGATGTAACTTTGTATGTATGTAACTTTCTATAATGTAACTTTCCAATTTGTAACTTTTACCAATTTGTAACTTTTCCAATTTGTAACTATTTCCATAATGTAACTTTCCATAATGTAACTTTCCGGTTTTTTTTGTGGCTAAATTACAATTTCTTGATTTTACAAAGTGATGAGTAAAATCCATGTTAGATGAAAAAAAAAATTAATGGGTGTTAACCGAGAAGTGTACCTCAGTAAGTGTATCATGATTCAAATATACTCAGAAAAAGAATTGAAAATATTTTTTTATGCTTTCTCAACCAGCACTATTATGTGTATTTTATCCCTTTTTGCCTAGTACAGTAGATGGAGTTGACTCAGTACAGTAGATTGACTTGACTCAGTACAGTAACTTGTCTTTACTCATAGGTTTTAGCTTGTGCTTCTTTATTAGGAACTATGCAACTCTTTCTGTTATATTTCTGCATGTACAGGTAAAAATATCAGTTTATTTGTTCTTAGGATGTTTGTTAGTAAGGTTTCTCAAACTCTGTTATAGCTCTCAAAGAGGCTAGGAGGCCTTTTTTCCAAGACTGTATTTCTTTTGACAATATTTCAATTTAAATTAAGCAATCTCTTTCATTTATTTATCTGGTGATATTTTTTTCATTATTAACTTAAATACTTATCACTAAATGATTTGGTTCTAATATCACTGGCACTAAGGCTCAAACATGTTGTCAATAATCTCTTACAGTTAACATTATGACTAACAAATAATTTGTAGCGAACAGATAATTAATTTGTGACTAATACATAGTTAACTTGTGACAAACAGATAATTAATTTGTGATTTGTTAATCACATTATTTTTTAGACAGCTAGAATCACTTTCTTTTGCTCCTTAATTTATGTCTGTTCCTACCTTCAGTTTTTTCTTGTTCTTCTTTAGATGATTCAGATTCAAAGCTCAGTTTTTTCTTGTTCTCATTTTAATTTATTCAAAGCTATAATAACTCTAGTACTTCTTCTGCATCAGGTTCACTTGTCATACTGGAATTCTTTTCATGCTTTTTTTTAGGTTCTTAGGTAGATGTTTCGTTGGTTTCACTCTACCCCATGATTTTTTTCTTGTGTAGTTTATAATTTATTTATTTCATTTTTTTACCAGACCTCCTGAGAACAAGTTTCTTTATCATTTGCAAGAAATTGTTGCAAAAAAATGTTTTTAACATGATGGCTTATTACTTTCATATTATTTTTTGTTTTATTGCAAAAGTTTAAACTTTAGAGACTTTAAAAATTTTTTAATAGTTTCATTACAATTATTTAGTATGAAATTTTTAGCATGTTTATTTTATCATCAAACTTAAATAACTATCTGTGATTTTTACATAAAGAATAAATTTGTATTTGTAAATAATTCCTTACACTTAATAGTTTTTTTGTATTAGCCTAATATTGTAAAAAAGTTTATTTTTGTTAAATCTAAATTCAAAATTTTAGATCAGGTATAAGTTTATACTAAAGTATATTGTTTGTACTAAAGTAAAAAAAGTTAACGTTTTTGTAAAGTCAGTTTTGTTGCAATGACTTTTACTATACAGATAGCTATTATACAAATACTATATAATAACTCTAGAGTTAAGCTTTTACCGACTTATATTTACCGGTAAATATTGGTAAAAATTTATCGGTAAATATTGGTAAAAATTTAAAACAATCATAGAAACTCATATAAAATTTTTTTTCATTACAAAATTTCAGTCGTTCTAAGATTCAGAACTAATATCTTTATTGGTAATTGTTATATTGATAAAAAATGAGCTTTGAGGAAACAAAGTGTATAAAGTAATAATCCAGCAGCAGATAAGGCTCTCTCAGACTCAATACTTGTTGGAGAGATAGTCTCCAGTGCGTTGAACAAAAGTTCATGATTAGCAGTTCTCTTTCCAGTAGCTTCATAGACCAACATTTTCTTTAAAATGGCTTTGAATTTGTTGTTTGAATTGTGGCGCTGTTTTTTAGTGGAATGCTGAATTGCTTCCATGAGTTTATCTTTAAGCGAAAGTGGATTTTCATTGAGATTTTCTTAACCACACACTTTTTGAGTGAATTCTAAGTCATCTGGATTTGCTGGAAATAGTCTAGACAACAAATCTTTGACAGTCTTTTGAAGTACAGACTTCAAAAACATTTTGAAAACTCCATGTTCATCAATGTCGAATAGTCATTCTGGCCTGGAAAAGTATCTGTACAAGCTTACAAGGTTGCTCTTCCTTCTCACTTCAAAACGTCTTAAAATTGCACTCTTTATCGCAATACAAAGAGTTAAATCTTGTTGTTTCAGTTTACAAAAAACTAGAAAATTCCCTTTTGTACTTATTTTTAGCAGTTGAGTTGCAGCTTGTGGGCTACTGTTGACAATTTGACTGGTTCAAGAGCAGCAACAATGTTGTATAAAATGTTTACTTCATCATCACTGCAAGGCAAATGTGGAGAAACGTCTTTAATATTTTTCTGAGTGAATCTTTAACTTTGAGAAACTGTTCAATCATTGACAGTAGACTTTTCCATCTTGTTCCGCAGTTAAGGATAAGCGAAACCTTTTTTCCATGCTATTTCTTGATTTTTTTTTGGAGGATGTCATTTTTGACTGAGATTTTCAAAACAACGTGAGGATTTTTTTCATTTTTTGGTGATTGCACTTTCACTTTCAGAATGGCAATATTTTCATCCATGGCAGCATCAAGAAAATTGACTTTGATGTCAGATTCAGATTTGTCACTGCTGAATTTATCTTTTCACTTGTTACTTGCAATCTGTTGTTATCGATTTTTTGGGAAGGCTTCTTATGCAGCACTTCCTGAACTGCCAAATGAATTCCATGGGTGTTACACGTGGGTGTTAACTATCTTGGAAGCTCCATCCCTTACTGAGCAGACAATGCTGTTGCTAATGTTCAACTCAAATTTGGCCACTTTTTCTGTGACAACTGCTACAGCTTTTTCAGCTGGAGGATTCAGAAATTTGAGTCAAGCACAGATTCCAGTATGTGCGTTTTTGATGAATATTAATATTCATGTACCTTCGATTTTTCAATGAAGTGTAATTGAAAATTTTTAGTGACCATTAAATTAAATTTCCAATTGTCACTAAAAATTTAGAAGTGTTTTTAAGGTCATTTCTCATGCTAGTTGCAAACTTTTTAACTGACTGGATTGCTTGCTTGTGATTTTTTGGAAAATCATAACCTTTTTCACACATGGCAGATCAAATTTTAACAATGGCGTGGAAACTGAATCCATCCAGTGCTGTAAGTCTTGAAATCACTTCTTTAATTGGTTACTTTGGGAAAAAAGTTGAAATTTTAGACTTTTTTGATTGTTGCAGCTTTTGTTGTCACCTTTTCCTGTGTTTTTTTTTTTTGATTCTATGTTTTTTGTCTAAGTGATTCACATTCCAGTTGTGGAACTTGAGTATTTACTGGTATTTCCACATACTTTGCAAGTCACTATTTTTTCTTTGTTTAAGGTGTAGTGTTTCCAAACGTCTGACATTTTGATAGAAAGCAAATTAAATTGATTGATAAATGCAAAAATAAATTTATCACAAGAAAGTAGAAATGTTTTTCTTAAAATATTTAGACAAAACTTTACCAATAGAATTAGTTTCCAAACAAACAAACAGCTTAGTTGATAGGAAAGTGATTATTAAAGTTTTAATTTATTGATTAAGCTTTTTCAAACCTTTTAAAATATTTTAAAGCATTTTTGAGCATGATAATTCTGATTACCATCTTCGTTTTTTAGATTTTTGTTATAGGCAAACAAATAAACAAGGTTGAGGAGTTTTTATTCATGTAAAGGAAAACAGTATACATAACATTAGGAATGGTATGTAGGTTTCTGACGGTGATAAAGAAATCATTTCAAAATTTTAAACAATTAAAAAATTAATACTCTATTAGGTGTGGCTGAAAATCATAACTTCTTTTTACTAAAAAATATTGTTCACAAAAGTAGCAAAGAAAAAAAAAACTAATTTCATAACTGAGGATTTCAAATGTTTAATTTATATTAAAGTATAGTAAAAATTATTTACCGAAATTTACCAACATAATTTTACCAGTAAATCGGTAAAACAATTTTACTGATTTACCGGTAAATTTTCGGTAAAAGTTCAACTCTAATTAACTCAAACAAATTTTAGTGTTAATGTTTGTTAATGTCTGTTTCAGAGAAACTTAATATAAAATAAAGTGCAAAAATTATAAAATAAGTAAAGTAAAAGAAAAAAGATGTATCTCTTAGAGTTTTCTTTTTTGTTTCGTTTTAAAATTATGCGCATTATTTAACATTGTTTGTTATTAATCAATGTGTATGTAATGTTTATATATAATTATTTAGAAACTGAATCAGCATCAATATCACAGCAATTGTCAAATAAGTCTAAAACAATCAAAAATAAGGTTTACATTTTTTTATGTGACTTTAAAATTAATGTATATACATATATATATATATATATATATATATATATATATATATATATATATATATATATATATATATATATATATATATATATATATATATATATATATATATATACATATACACAAAAATTCTTTCATAGAAACCTTTTTTGAAAATTCATAAAAACAAGGTCGGCAAAAAAATACTGACCTTGTTTCTATGTTTTATGGTAAGACCTTGGTATTAAATTTTTTATATGTATATATGTATACATGCATTTATAGTTTATAGTATGATAAATTATAATTCTTTATAATTAAGCATTTGTAGTATGAATTAATTCTTTTATTTGATAAAAAGCCTTTTTTATAACTTGTTTACTAATAGTTTTCACTAATGTTTTAAGTAAATTCAGAGGTCATCCACAAATCGCGTTACACAGTAAGAAGTGTAGGGGTTAAATTAGGAGGGTGTTCAATTTTTTAATGCATCCTTTTTTTTTGTATTTCAAACCTAGAAAAACCTTTCTTTTTGCAGTTTATGGGAGTGAATTCCATAGGTTGACTACTCTGTTAGGAAAGAAATTAAGCCTAATATAGATAGCTCGCATGTTTTTGTTGAGGTCTGAAGCACTAAAGAACTCTTTGATGAGATGTTGAGAGTGTCCTCGAGTTATTTTACAGATGGACTGCCAATTTGTGGGTTAAGCCAATAAACATTTTCTAAGTTATTATTAAATTTATAGTTGTCGATTAAATCACCTCAAATGCGTTTTTCATTTAGTGAGGTGAGGTGAAGAAATGATAATCTGGCTTCACTGGGTAGCGCTCTTAAAGACAGAATTGCTTTGGTGGCACAGTTTTGGACTTTTTTAAGTTTTTTGACGTTCCATGCAGAAAGTGAATTCCATACAGGAGTAGTATACTCGAGGTGAAGTCTAACAAGGGATGTGTATAATCTCTTTCAAACATGACCATTTTTATAGATAAAAGATTTCTTTAGTTAACCAAAAACAGAGTTATCTTTAAATGATATTATTTCAATGAGAGTGTCCCATTTAAGGAAGTGTGAGATACAAATGCCAAGATCTCTTTTGTTGTAAGAGGAATTGAGAAGTTGCATTCCTTGCTGAGCCAAGTTATAGTATTGGTGATTAAGATTTTTAATTTTGTTCAAATGTACGATAAGGCACTTTTTGTAGTTGAGACGTAAGTGCCAGGCTAGAGTCCAAAACGTGATGTGATTTATATCCTTCTGGAGCAAAACTGGGTTCTCAGGTGTCAAGTTGGTGGAAATAACTTTGCTGTCGTCGGCATATAACTTCATTGGATTGCTAATAAGGTCTGTAATGTCATTAATGTATAAGATAAATAAAAGAGGTCCTAGAACAGATCTTTGTGGGACACCACTGGTGAATGGTAACCAATCTGAAGTAGCAGAACCCATGACAACTCCTTGTGCTCTGTTAGAAAGAAAAGAATTTATCCAATTAAGAAGTATATAAGAGATACTGTATCCAGAAGCATAAGATTATGAGGAGGTGTGTCAAATGCTTTTTTATAATCTAGATAAAAAGCATCTACACTATAACCTCTTGTCATTGAGTACAAGATCTGATTGACAGTTTCCAATAAATTTGTAATGCAAGATTTAATTGACACAAACCCATGCTGATTTTGAGATAAAAGATTACTAACTCATAGATACTCAGTTAAACAATCTTTTACTATATACTCTAGGATTTTGCAGCCGACAAAAGTTAAAAAAATGGGTCTGTAGTTTGATGCATCAAGTTTGGATCCTTTTTTGTGAAGCAGTGTAATGTTAGCTTCCAGCCACGCAGCTGGGGCTTGACTTTCAGAAATAAATTTTATAAATATATACGTAATTGGCACATTCAAAGATGAAGAAGATTTGTTGAGAACATGCGGGTGAATACCCTCTACGCCTACAGGCTAATGCATGTTAAGTTTTGAGAGGATTGTATGCAGTTCTCATTAAGTCTATTCAAGGCCGAAGTCTCATCAATCACAGAAAATGTGATTGTAGCTATATGGCTTTGATCGGTTGTAATGCTTCTATTTGACTCTTTCATAGTTCTTAATTGATTTTTAACTTTAAGTTTCATGTTTATGTATTGATATATAAGTTTTGGGTTTGTCTAGGCTTTTTCTGATATAGATTTTTCATATTGAGCTATAGAGTTAATAAGAGTTTGTTTTACTTTTTTGCAGCTATTGTTGTATTTTGTAGTGTCTAAACGTCGGTTTTGGTCTTTGCTTCTATAATATAGTTTATTTTTATTTTTTATTGCAGAGATTAATTCTAATGTGATAAAACAGCGTCAAACAGAATAATGTTAATTGCTGGTATTTGAAGATTACATCCAAGGCCTTCTTTATTAGAAGGCCTCGACACCGTGCAGGAAATTTTTTGACTGAAGGCCGATTTTAAAAAACCTGTTTAAAGTTGTAAAAGCTGTAGCTGCTTTCAAAGAAATTTAAAATGAATAATTTATGATGCCTTTAAAATGCTACGTACCAAATTGTTACTCAAATTATAAGTCTTTAGATTGTAAAATATCTGTATACAAATTTCCTCGTGAAATATCTGAAAAAAACAAGTGGTTTATGAGTATTTCTTGCTCACACTGGACTTTAGCAAAATATAGCGTTGTTTGTAAATTGCATTGGCCAGAAGATGCCGAGTTTACTTTATATCGTGGTAAATTAAGACCAATTAATCCTCCATCAGTGTTTCCAAATATATCTAAAAGTTGTCTATCCTCTCCACCACCAAAAATGAGAAAAACTTTATCTTCTTCTTCAAAAAGAAGTATTGAAAAAGATGAATTAGAAGATTATAGAATAATTGATAATTTAAAGTTTGAAGGTATTGAAAAATACTTATCTACTGAAAATGATATAGTTACTTACAAGCAAAACAATTCTATTTTTATTCAGTCTAAAGTTTTTAATTGTGGGGTTCCACTATTTTTGCTGATAATTAATCAAAGTTTAATGTTTGAAACATTTCATTATGGTTCAAAATGTACTGTTAAACCTCTTTAGAAAAATAGAATAATTTCATTTAATACAAAGTCAGCTTTAAATAAAGCTCTTAGATATCTAAAAGTTAAAGATGAGGATCATAAAACCCAAGTATTATTTCAGCATCTAAATGTAATGGGAGATCATTCTGTTGGCTTAACTGTATATTTACCTGATATAATAACCAGGGCTTTTGAATATTTTGCAACAAGTCGTTCCACTTACAATCAATTGTGTTGTGATTATCAGTTGCCAAGTATTCGAACTTTAACTTGTATAGCTTCAAAAATAAATTCTCAAGACGATTTGGTTTTTTTAAGTTCTGTGCTATTAAACCTTGAGGTTTAATAGCACAGAACACAGAAAAAAAATAGTGTTTTATTGATAGATGAAGTTTATGTCAAAGCTGCTTTATTATATCAAAGTGGAAATATTTTTGGAAAAGCTGTTAATAATCCAGAGAATGATATTTTTATGATCAAAAGTCTTTATGGTGGTCCTGAATTTTTAGCAAGAGTTTTACCAGTTACTAATCTAACATCAGATTTCCAACTAGATCAATGCAAGTTAATTGTAGACACCACAGAAAGTTCTATATGTAATGGCAAAGTAGTTGCAATTATTATTGATGGTAATAAAGTTAACCAAAGCTTTTTTTCTAAATTCAAAACAGTAGATGGAAAACCTTGGTTATGTCAAAATGGAACTTATATTTTATATGACTATGTCCATCTTTTAAAGTGCATTAGAAATAGTTGGCTGACAGAAAAGTTAGGTCAGTTGCAGTTTATTTATAATGAAATATCTTACATTGCAAATTGGAGAGATTTAGTTGACTTATATACACTTGAAAAAAAACAATTATTAAAGTTGTCAAAGTTGACTAAAACATCAATAAATCCTAAACCAATAGAACAACAAAAAGTAAGTACTTGTTTGCAAGTATTCAGTGAAAAGACAGTTGCAGCTCTAAAAACTCATCTAAAATAGACCAAGAAAGTGTCAAGGGTACTATTATTTTTTTGGAGTTGATTATAGATTTTTGGAAAATAGTGAATGTTAAATGTCCTGGTGCTAATCTTAGATTCAGGGATGAGTCCCGTAATGTAATTAGATCTTCAGACGACATTAACTTGAAAAAATTGCTTGCTATTGCAACAATGGCAGAAAATATGAAACCAACATCTGGTAAACAAGTTCGATAGCTTACAAAAGATACAAGCAATGCACTTTCACATACCTGTCCTGCCCTAATTGATTTATCTTGCTATCTTTTATCAACTGGAAATGAATATGTAATTTTAGGTTGGTTTTCTTCGGATCTGATTGAAAAATGCTTTGGAAAATTACGTCAAGGATCAGGTGGTACTTATTTTATAACCGCTAAATCAGTTATTGAAAAAATACGTATTCAGCATGCTAAGCTGGTGCTGCAGCTAAATATTGATGTAGAAGAAAATGATGGCCATGACTGTCTTTTATGTCTTGTAGATTTAGACGATAGGGAAATCGATATTGTTTACAATTTAGCAGATCTAGAAGATAGCATAAATATAGAAATTTTATATTCTATTGTCTATATTGCTGGTTATGTTCAAAAGTGTTCCCCTGAAGAAATTGGAGATGATACAATTACATATTATGAAAAATACGGAAATTATTCAAATAATTTAAATAGGGGAGGACTAACTATTCCATCTGACACTTAAACTCAATGGTCCTTATTTTGCTATATATTTTTTTCTTTTTTAGATAAAAGAGTTTGCAGAACATTTCTGATTCGACAGTTTACATTTATTGCAAAATTCCATGAATTTTCTATTTCAAAGAAACAATGCCAAATACTGGCAAACATTTTTTTAAAGAACTTTGCTTTTCTTCACAATCCTAAAAGTAATAAAGAAACTAAACTCAAAGAAATTAAGTTTATGTAAACGTTTTTTTTTTCCTATTTAGTACAAAATTTTTATTTTATATTACTTATTTTATCTTTTAAATTAAAAATCTCATATATTAGGTTTTAGTTCTTTAATATATATTTTTTACATTAAACTTTGCCATAAACTTCTAGATCTACTTTTATATAAAAAAAAACTTTCTAAAAACTACTAAAAAATTGCTTCTTTTTCCACCATTATCAATTTTGACAGAATTACAGAAAAAGTTTTTAATAGATTTGTTCAAAATTTTATAAGCTTTTTAATAATGTATGACATTATATACCTAGGATTTTTTCTTTGAAAGATATTTTTCTTTTATGGAGTCTTGCTTTTGCAAGACTCCATAAAAAGTTTCTGTTTTTCGGCTGTGCCGAAAGAGTTAAGAGTGATGCTACCAGCGCTTTGTCATATTCAATATGGTCAACAGCGACTAACAGTGCCAAAATTAATAGTATTTTTTCTTTTTTTTCCCTTTCCTGAACTTCACGTGCATTTGCATCAAGTAATTCTAATTGAACAATTGATCTAGTTACTTTGCCTCTTCCAGAAACAACTGAGGCCCAGCTGGAGTTTGTTGGATTGCTGCTTCTAGTGTTAGGTTCTAAAAAAGCTGATGAATAATGCTGACATCTGTGGCCCACTGTTTCTCTAGAGCTGTTACTTTTGCATCTTGAGTAAGTTTTTCTTTTTGAAGATACTCTATTTGTTCATGCAAATTAGAGCTTTCATGTCTTAGAATATGAATTTTATTTGTCATGGCTGTTTTAAATGCTATAAAATAGTAAACAGTAAATGAAAATAAAAATAAAAATAAAAATATATAAAAAAGAAATAAAAATATATAAAAAAAATAAAAAATAAATAAAAGTTGGACTCGAGTTAGCTCTGCTCTCTAATTAGCCAACTCTCCTAACCAAAACTTTTAATTGTCAATGGCTCTACTTCAGAAGATAAATATTTTTAAAAATTTTAAATATGTATATATATATATATATTACAATTGTATATATATATATATATATATATATATATATATATATATATATATATATATATATATATATATATATATATATATATATATATATACACACACACACACACACATATATATATATACACTCACACACGCACACACACACATTTATATATATATAATATATATATATATATATATATATATATATATATATATATATATATATATATATTTATATATATATATATATATATATATATATATACATATATATATATAATATATATATATATATATATATATATATATATATATATATATATATATATATATATATATATATATATATATATATATATATATATGTATATATATATATATATATATATATATATATATATATATATATACACACACACATATATATATACACTCACACACACACAGACACACACACACACACACATATATTGTTTTATGATTTTATTTTATTTGGTTTATCCTTTAAATATTTTAACATTCATTAAGTTTCTCTTTATGTTTACGAAAGTTTATGCTTTGTTTATTTTAATTTTCTCTTTAAATTTAAGTTTCTTTTGATTTTTTCTTTAAGTTTTTTTTTTCTCTTTAATTTTAAGTTTCTTTTAATTTTCTCTTTAAATTAGTTTTGTTTTTATAGTACTTTTTTTTTTACACACAAATTATCAATATATGCAAAAAACTTTGGCATACATACATACATGCATGTATGTATGTGTGTTTTTTATACATACATCCATGCATGCATTTATGCATGCGTGTTTTTTTAAATAACTTTTATTTTATATATTTGAAATCAGAGATCAAACTCTCCTTCTTCATTTACAAGGTATTTATCTTTTTTTTTTTGTTTTGTTTTTTCAATTTCTTATTTATACATTATTGTATATTATTATTATAAGTTTAATTTTTTCTGATTTATTTTATGTATTAATTATTTTTTTACAGTGTTTTTACACTAATTTAATTTTTTTACACTGTTTATATATTATATTTCATATACTTTTCTTATTTTTAACTTGCTTTTTAATCTTTTGATGCTTGAATTAAAAAAAATGTAGTGGTGTTTAGTTAGAAGATAAGGATTCTAACCATTTCATTATTGTATATGCTTGTGTGTTTTGTGTGAAGCAAGAAATGTTTATATTTTTCTTAAGTATCAATAATATATTTATATAAGTATCTTTCTTAATTCTTAAGTACTTATCGATAATATATTTATATAAGTATCTTTAAAGTATTTATTGTATTAAATATTATACTTAAGAATTTATCAATAATATATTTGTATAAGTATCTTTCTTAATTCTTAAGTATTATTTTTTAAGTATGGATAATATATTTATATAAGAATCTTTTGTTTCAGTAAATCAATTGATAGTGAAAGTAATTTAACAAACTCAACAGACAGTGATGAAAGTTCTGATGAGGTATTAAGTTCAAAACATTTATAATAAGAAATGTAATAATCACAATTAATACAATTGGTTATTTTATTTGTTAATTTAGGAAGATTTGCTTTACTTTACAAGTCCTTTTCAGTTGCTAGAAATTTTTGCTGAGCTGGAAGAGCACAACTTATCACTAATCCTTAACAGTCAGGACACTGAGGAAGCACTTGATGAAATGAAGAAAACAATCATTCATGTAAAAGAAAAAATGTGAGATTATTTATAGTGCACTGATTCTGAATTTACATTACAAACTTTTTATTAGTTCAGGGTTCTAATTAGTAATTGACCAAGGATGAAGTTTGACCAAGGTTGGGGTAAGGTTTTATAAAAATAGACAAGGCCTGGTGTGACTGAGGCTAGAGAAACATTGATGCATCCTAAAGTATATTTTTTTATTCAAAATTTATGTTATACTTTTTATATATATGCATGTATACATAAACATCATGATTAACATGATTATCATAGTAATCATTGTTGTTATCATCATCAGCCTTATCATTGTCAGTTTCATCATCATCATCAAGATTTAGTCTTCCCCTTTTAATGCTGTTTCTCTAATATAAACAATCTTGTGCATTTTATTTCCTTAAATAATTTCCTTGTTTATACAATATGTAATGCATTCCCTCAACTTCCGCCATTTTTTTACTCAAGCTTCTACCCTCTCTAAATGCTGATACCCAAACCACTTGAATCTTTTTTGACAAACTTTGTTTTAAAAAATGTTTTTTCTAATCTCTGTTTATGGCTACATATCTTGTTTTGTTAGTCACAATACAGATTATCTGATCATCATCTTTTCTCGGCAAATACTACAGCATATGAATACTAAAGTTTATATAAATATGTAATGATATTTTATGTCAGCATCTGAATAAATAGCAAACATATATGTTTATACCCATATATATATCCTTATTATGAATGCATAAATGTGCCTCTAACTTAACCTCCTGGATAACCAAGCGGATATGGAAGCTTTTATTCCTTCTTGTCAGTATTAAGTCAAGCCTCATTCTATTCCACATTTGCTAAGCTCTGTTATTCTTAGTTAACTAAATCTTGTATCTTATATCAGATGTTAGGTTCTATCGACTTTAAAATCCTTCAACAGTGTCATTAGTTAAAGTTAGTCTAATATTGTTTATGGCTCTGATCTCATTACTTCTCCCCAGAATAAAGCACAGTTACTTGCAAAGAACTTTTTCTCTAATTTGACTCTTAAATCTAATGGCCATACTCTTCTTGCTAAATTATAGTTTCAGAATATGTTCCAGTAATTTATTTCAGAACTATGATGCAATAGTTTTTTTCAGCATAAAGTGTTTCAATAGTTTGTTTCAGAACTATTTTGCAACAATTTATTTCAGTAATAAGTTGTATTAATTTATCCCAATATTATGCTCCAATAATTTCGTTAGGTCAAGATCAGGATCACCATGGTCCCCCTTATACTGATAACATGTAGTTCAGAAGAACCTTTCATCAGCCTTTTAGGACTTGCTTTTCTAGGTGAAGGCTAGTAAAACTCAACTCTGACAAAATAGATCTCTGCTATTGTGCTCCTGGTTTTCTTGGTTAGTCCAAAAGAATTAATATCCACTCTTTTTGATATCTATTATTTTTGACTCTCACTCAAAAACAATTAAAGCTCTTGTTAAATTAATAAAACAAATTATTAAATTTTATAAAAGAGTTTTAATTAACTTTATTAACAATAGTGTTTTTTTTAAAGCATTAAACTAACCATGCATTGTAAATCATTTATCATGTTTTATGTATAAAAACTAAGATACATTTAAAATTAAATTCTGTCTGATTTTTGAATCATTACAGCAGAGTCTGTGTGCATTGAATGTATTTTGAAGATATATATGGTAAGGGTTGGAGGGCTAAATATATTATAACCATCACACAAAGTTAAAACAGATAATTATTTGTTACTTTTTAAAATGTAGGAATAAAGAAACAGAAGCTCTAAAGTTACAAGTTGATGCTTTGAAAGAGACAATACAAAAAGAAAAGAAAAAAGGCTCTGATTTTGAAATGAAGTCACGGTATTAAATTTTTTAAATTTATTTAGTAATATTTGTTTGAAGCAAAAAAAGTTATTTTTTATTATTTGGTACAAATTTTCTCAATTTACTTTATAGCATGTTTTCTTATGGAGAGTTTAAGGCTGATGACCAGGTAGGTAAGAATTTCTATGCTTGTTTAATAAGTTTAATGGACAATTTGTATATCACTCTCTTTATAAATGAAAGGTTGTAAAAGAAATAAACATATTGTATATGTATGCATATATGTTTATATATATGTATACGTATATGTTTATATATTATATATAACATATTGTATATGTATACATATATGTTTATATATGTATACGTATATGTTTATATATATATATATATATATATATATATATATATATATATATATATATATATATATATATATATATATATATATATATATATATGTATATATATATTATCATATATATATATATATATATATATATATATATATATATATATATATATATATATATATATATATATATATATATATATATATTTATATATATATATATATTTATCAGAGTCCTGTTTTCCATCATGCTGGAAAGCAGCATCTGTTATCCCTATTTTCAAAAATTCCGGAGAGCGATCTGATTCATCTAACTACCGTCCCATTAGTCTTCTTCCTGTCATAAGCAAGGTTTTTGAATCTTTAATCAACAAACACTTAATCTCTCATCTTGAATCAAATAACTTACTTTCTGATCATCAATATGGATTTCGATCTTCTCGTTCTACAGCTGATTTGCTAACAGTAATAACCAATAGGTTTTACCGTGCATTAGATAGAGGTGGAGAGGTTAAGGCTATCGCACTTGACATTTCTAAAGCATTTGATAAAGTTTTGGCATGCTGGTCTTCTCCATAAGCTTTCTTCTTATGGTGTATCTAGTAACATCTTTAAGATTATTGAGTCCTTTCTTTCCAATCGTAGTATAAAAGTTGTCCTCGATGGACAACACTCTTCTTTATATCCTGTAACTTCAGGGGTTCCTCAAGGTTCAATCCTTGGCCCTATACTCTTTTTAATTTACATTTACGATCTCCCAGATATTCTCACATCTAAGGTGGCATTATTCGCTGACGACACTACCATTTACTCTTGTCATGATAAGAAGCCTACACTCTCTGATTGCCTGGAGGGGGTATCTGAGCTTGAAAAGGATCTCACTTCTGCTACAGCATGGGGCTCACAGTGGCTGGTGAACTTTAATTCAGATAAAACTCAATTTTATTCGGCCAATCGTTATCGTAATAATTTAGATCTTCCTATATTTATGAATGGTAATGTACTAGATGAGTCATCTACCATCCATCTTCTAGGATTAACTCTTACTTCTGATCTTTCTTTTAAACCGTATATCAAATCCATTGCAAAATTAGCATCTGCTAAGGTTGCATCTCTTTATCGAGCTCGACACTTTCTTACTCCAGATTCTATTCTCTATCTCTATAAATCTCAAATCCGTCCCTGTATGGAATACTGTTGCCACATCTGGGGCGGATCTTCTAATGATGCCCTTTCTCTTTTAGACAAGGTGCAAAAACGCATTGTAAACATAGTTGGACCTGCTCTGGCAGCCAATCTTCAACCTTTGTCACATTGTCATGATGTTGCTTCTCTTTCTCTTTTCTACAAATACTATAATGGGCACTGCTCTAAAGAGCTAGCGTCTCTTGTGCCATCTACTAAAATTCATTCTCGTGTTACTCGTCATTCAATTAAGTCTCAACCTTTTTCTGTGACTGTTCCTAAGTGCTTCAAAAACTCTTATTCTTCTAGTTTTTTTCCTCGAACATCAGTTCTTTGGAATTTGCTTCCTTCATCTTGCTTCCCTGATTCATATAATTTGCAATCATTTAAGTCATCAGTCAATCGTTATCTTGCTCTACAAATTTAGTCTTTTCTCTTCCAGTAACTTCCAACTCTTATAGTGGTTGCTTGCAGCCTTGTTGGAAGTGAAGATGTTAAAAATATATATATATATATATATATATATATATATATATATATATATATATATATATATATATATATATATATATATATATATATATATATATATATATGTATGTATATATATATATATATATATATATATATATATATATATATATATATATATTATATATATATATATGTATGTATATATATATATATACATATATGAAGGGTGCAAGGGGAAAACTAGTGAAGTCACATTTTCACATTTTTGGAGTTATTATCCCAACTATGTTAAAGATAAGTTTCTGCATCTTTTCACAAATGGGTATGAAAAAATAAAAATTAAATTACACTAAATTTACATGTAAAAAAAGAGATCGCAAGGGGTAAACCAGAGATGTCCAAATTGTTCAAAGGGTAAACCGGAGATTTCCAAAACCCTTTGCGCAGAATAGGAATGTTGCTTTCAAGTATTACATTTCAGCCAATCCGACTTGTTTTCCCCCAAAACAAAATACTCTGATATTTGCTGAAATGGCGGACGAAGTTTAGTATCCTGATATATCAGAAATTTCAAAAAAGAAAAAAAAACATGATCGAAAGTGGGAAAGAAATAGAAATATGAACAAATATCATCACATGTTATTGGTTTTCTGTGTCATTGCAAACGGTATAAGTGTTTTGAAAAAAAGATAATGGAAGAGAGGGAGTTTTTACTGTTGTACTTTAAAAAAATGCAAAATAAAGATCAACAAGACAGTTATTTTACTTCAATGATTGAGGTTTTAAGTATTAAACGAAGAAGACCTTGAAAAAAAGAAGAATAAAGGTTTCTTTGTGATCATTCTCTTATTATATCAAAGTGGCACAAGATAATAACATCGTAAGAGTTCCAGTTTGTATCAATGCTATCTTATCAATATTTGGCATTGGAAAAACAAGAATAGAAAGAATAAGAGGATCTCTTGTTAAGACAGGTTAGTAAAAATAAATAAACATTTTGCATTATTAAGTACTAATTATTCATTTCAATAAATAATGCACACACAAATTTATCTTTTATAAATGAAAAATTTTTGTCTGAATTTAAGCCCCTTCAAATTATAATATAATTTGATTTAATCAAATTAAAACATATAAACATATGAAGCTTGTACATTTGACTTTTTTAAGGAGTTCTTTCTTTAAACCAGCAAGGAAAACATACAAACCGACTTCTCACCTTTTCAGAGAATATTGTAAATAGTATCATTGATCATATCAAATCTTTTAAAGGGCGCCAAAGACATTATTGTATAAAACTAGAAAGTTGTATTTGCCAGAGGATATTAATTTATTGAAAATATATAATATGTACAAAGAGCGTTTTCCACAAAATAAAGTTTGTTGTGAAAGCTACAAGTACTTTGATAATATTAATTTGATAATGCTTATTTATAAGAGTATTATTTGATATTGTCTAATTGTCTACTTTTCTTATCAGGAAAATTTTTTCAGAAAAATTTAACATCAGCTTTGGTTATCCTTGATACTTGCTTAACATGCGACAAGCTCAATAATATACTTGAAAATCAAGACACTGGTGCAGCTCAGATCATCAAAGCTAGTAAAGAAAAAGAACTTCATTTGCGAAAAGCAAATGTTTTATACCAGAAAGACAGAAGCACATAGTAATTCAAAAACTGGTCATCTAGCTCTTGCTTTTGGCTTCGCAAAGAATATGAGTTGTCCTAATATATCTACAAATGATGTTTATTATCGTAGACAGCTCTCTATGTACACATTTAATATACACTGCTTAGGGTCAAACAGTGTTCACTTGTTTTGTTACGATGAAACTTATGGACAGAAAGGAGCGGACAATGTAGCGAGTATGCTGGAGTACTATTTTAAAGACATTTTACCAAAAAATGTATCTCATTTGCAGCTTTTTTGTGATTCCTGTGCTGGGAAAAATAAGAACTGGACTGGTATTCGTTTTTTGCACTTCAATGTTGTGAATAAAAAAAATATTTTCACGAAATAAAGATATCTTTCCCAATAAGAGGTCACAGCTACATGGAGTGTGACTGAGATATGGTGTTAGTTAATCAGAAGGTTCAAGCAAAGCTACCAGTAAATTGGATGGAAGAATTTCATACCTGTCGTGAGAAACCTTCACCATTAAAAATTATCAAGATGGGACTGAAAATGTTCTTTAATTTTTCTGATCATATGAAACAGTTTTACAAAGTTAAATGTCCAAACCAACACGTCCTATACGTGAAATAATTTTCTCACAAGATTTTCCTACTATGTTACAATACAGATTTAGTTGAAATGGACCTTTTGAAAGAGTTGTTATAACAAAAGCTAATGGAAAAAAGAAGCAGTTGTTGCAAAAACCCCTCACATGTTTGTACAACGAGTCGAACTCCGAACTCCGAACCTCTCGCTTACAAAGCGAGCGCTCTTACCACTACACCACTGTCACATTTTGTACCTTCTTGCTTTATCTTGCTCTCTCACATACCACCTATAAGTTGTGTCGCACACAACTTATAGGCGGTATGTGATAATAAATCTCTTTTTGAGTTTTTTTTTGTACCTTCTCACCAAAGCCTGCCAACTCGACTAAAAATCCATATATTCATGTGTAATTGCCCGTACATTGAATTATGGGATGTCTTGCGGGACCATATTATAAACAACATAAATTTACTATACATCTTTGTTGTCTGCTAAATATATATTATATATTATAATATTATTAGGTTTTGCTTTTCAAAAATTAAGTTGCTTTTTCTATAAATACAATATTAAATATGCTCAGCCATCAGTTGTGTTAACAAGCGTGGAAAGAATGTTGGAAATAATATATCTTTTTTTAGATTTCCAAAAGATAAAAATAGGTAAGTAATTATTAGTCTAATCAAGTTTATTAAATAACTAGTATTTAATCAAGATTTTAATCAATTTAATCAAGAATTTAAAGAAACTTTTAAAACATTGTTTTACTTTAAATTTTATGAAACAAAAAATATTTATGCATAATATGATGTAAATAATTCCACTAAATTAATTAGGTTTAACCTATTATTTAGATGCAAGCTTTGGGTTCGTAATTGTCGTCGTCAAGAAAGAAATCAACGATAAAGTCAAATTAAATAAAATAAATAGTG